GATTGCCAATGACTCCAAAAGCAATTTATATGACCATTTCCAAATATGTTGGAGGGTACCAGCGACAGGTGTACTGGACCTTTAACCTTTGTTGTACCGGACCTCCGTGGTCACTGGTTAACGCTGTTGCATGTTTGTTAAGTCTAAAGCAACAAAACTACTTAGTTAGGTTTANNTGGTTTGGATTACAATAAGTACATATTACATAACTTAAGTCAGGCCATGTATGTGACCCTAGGTAAGTAAGTTATATGATAAGCAAACATGAACTTTTGGTTATAAGGAGTTCGGTGTAGACCTCTATTTAAAAAGCGTCCTGAGATTAAGACAATTAGTTATGATATGGGCGCTTATACAAATAGAAAATGTTGAATTGGTTTTATACAGGACAAGAACAGCGGCCTCTAATGAAAGCTTGGGTTATCTAGTTTAGCTTAAATCCAGACAGCTCTTAACATCTCAGACACATCTGCAAGTTGGTCAACTGTTCCAATAAGCTGGTTTTGTGCTCATTGGTGGCTTTTTCTGCTGTGACCAAAAATAACTGCACCCAACATTACTGTTGCTACGTTACCAGGATGGAAATATCTCTAATTTCTGACTGGTTAAATGAACACAATGTCAGGTTAAGTTAATTAGTTTGATTAGCAGGCTATGCTAGCTTACACATTTAAACTACTGACTATTACTCTTAGACAGTTCTTATGACTCTTATATAGTTGTGTAATCACAGCGTATGTTATAGTTGATTAGCTTGCAAGCTTAAAACATACAACATGTAAATGGAACAAATTTGGAGTAGGATAGGTCTTTTCTGCAGTCTTTGTGCTAAGCTATAGGCTAAATATGACCCTGGCTTATTTCTTCTATGTACACACAGAGAGATTAAATTGATTCTGATCTTCTCATGTAATGCACACTGGATACATACTGGATATTTGGGGGCTACTTAGGTGAACTCATCCCATAATTTAATGAGCTTAATTGGCTGCAAAAAGGTGAAAACAGTGTTATCAAAGCATCGTCCTTTGACCCTCTTCCATTAGCCTCTTTCTGTCTCTCTCTCTCTTCATTCATCTCTCATCTCCTCTCTCTTCACTCTCTACTCATCACCTACATATAGTTACTGAAAATAAACAAACATGGATAGGTCATTCGTGACAGCCGGAATACCAGCCTCCAATCTCTCCCACAATGACGGCTAGCTACCAGTCGAGGCGACAAGCAACCCAACTCTTCCCCGGGGAAATATCAGCTGCTTTTCAAAGGAAGCCCGGTTCTGATAAGCTCCGTCTGGCGTGAGACCAGTCAGACTCACGAAAGCCCCTCAACCTTTCATCCTTTCATGTGCTAACTCAGCTGCTGTGAAAACAACCGAACGTATATTGACCTCTCACCCTCTTTTTGTCTCGTTTTTCAATATTAATGGAGGATTTTTAGATTCTGCTTGTACATGAAATTCTTCAGAATCTCAAATTCTGTTGCTTAAGCTTGAAATATTATTTATTTATATATATTTTACTGTTACAGTCACACCATCATGCATCACTGCTGAGTAATCTTTCAAATAATAGGTGTGGTTGAGTCAAGCACTACACTTTTGAGTAAAACAAGCTGTTTTGGGATGATTTCATGAGAATCTAGACCCTGATTTCATCCATGTAGGAGTGCTGTGTGACTGTGCAGGCTTCACATTAAGAGACTGTGCATGTTTAAGTGTGTGTTTGCATGTGTTTAAGTGTGTGCGTCAGTCCCAGTGTCAGTCAAACGAGGAAACCAGCTTGAAGGCTTAATGATGCAAATTTTGCCCTCAGGTCATTTATTTGGTTGATGTGCTTTGGGCAATGATTGACGTCAGTTGTCTGCGTCTGTAGACACACAGGAAGAAGGTTTACTGTAATGTGTATTCATTTATTCACAAACAGCCTGTGTGTAAACTTTAGCTGATTTAGGGTTTGATATAATAAGACGAGAGGAAGAATGTGTCACTTTTTCTTAATATCCGGTCTCAATTTAATAAACCTTAACACGCCAGACCATCAGCAGATATATAAAGTTATTCTTAATGGATTCCCCTTGAAATCAATGAAACAAGTCGGTGGAAACGCTACCGCTTTTGTCCAAAGGGGGCTGCCTGAATCAACACAAAATTAAAGTTCCTCGTTGCTGCTTAAAGCAAAATAAAATAACAGTTAACAAAGTTAACTAAGTTAAGTCATATTACATTGAAATGAAGTAAAATGTGTATTCTAATATAAATACTACTTATTTTTCTTGCAATTCTCCTCACTATTCCATAATTTAAGACAAAGCTAACACAACATGTTATTTTAATTAAATTTTAAGCACAAAAAAGGTCTCTTTTCTCTAAGTTTCTCATAATTTATTAGTGTTTTATAGCTTTAAAGCTTTGTAGACTCATACATATGTATTGCTATCTGGTTTGTGCTCATTTAAGTTAAATCTTTTGGGGAATCATCCACACTATAAAGTCAGAGTATGAGGAATGGGGTGTTAATTGGGTGTTAATTTTGCCCTGTGGCCATCTGGCAGGCTCATATAGCCACGTTGGCTCCAAAATAACAATAAAAGTGTTAAAATTGTGATTAATTGTAGGTTATAATTTGCTACTTGTGTCATTTATCTAGTTAATTCCTCCAGTTCCTACCATCTTTATACCCCATCTCATTTAACTTGAATCTCAATACCCTCCTCTCTCCTCTTCTCCCTGACAGTTACCAGGTCAGAGCGCCCTCTGCTGGCTGGGACAGTTCCCTACAGTAAATCCTTTGCTGCTATTGTACTTGCAACAAAGGAGCAGAGCCAACAAAGCTGAAACACACATACAGGAAACACAAAGGAAAGCATGCTACCCTTTGTTACAGACTCAGTTACAAACAGTCTGTTATTTCAGAACAAGCATAGTTGCGACACTGCTGCTGCTGCTGCTGCTGTTGACAATGCAATTTCAACAGACAGACAGGTTATTTATTCAACAAATTGGTCAAATCTGCACACAGTATACATATCAATCTAAGTTTGACGTGGATTGTAGTATTTCTTCTGAATGTATAACAAGTATTTGTGATGTATTTTATGTATTCAGAAGTAGTTGTGGTAAACTGAAACCACTGAAGTTGTAATATGTGACTTAAACTGCAGTTTTCTTAGATGTTCTTTCCTCCCTGTGATAGAGAGTTCAAAACAAATACATAAGAAAATATATTAAAAGTGTGGTTTTAACACTGTAATATTTTATTATTGTGCAAAAAACAAATACACTTTTCTGTCTATTGTTGGATAAATCACCAGCAAATATTGGACCAAACTAAAAAGAGAGACACAAAAATGTTGAAAATGCTTCCTTGTTTTTGGTTTTGGGCATATTTCTAATTGCTCATATACTTTTATTGCTTCCTGTGCCTGTTTTTAGTGAGTTTTTTTAGTTTTAGCTTAAGAGTTTAAATGTTTTTTTTTACCCACATTGGTTGTTTTGATCATTTACTGTTGCCAAGAAATCCATTTTTTTTATTCTTACCATTGCCTTTAATGTTCCTTTTGTTCTTTATAGTGTATTTCTGTTAGATTCCCATTGTCCCACATTACGTTTCCCCTCGGGTCCACATTAAACTATAATTGTAATCCTAAAGGTTCATGAAGCGAGCTTGAGGGTCTGGGTAAGAATAGATATAGGTGAGAAAAATAGAAGATCAGTTTTCAGGCGTGAATGCATGTACAGTGCCTTGCGAAAGTATTCGGCCCCCTTGAACTTTTTTCAGAGCCTTTTTTGACAGCAGTTTCAGGCGTTCAAACAGTAAAATATAAAAGGTTTTTATGTTTTTGGTGGGAAGAATCAGTGCGCAACAAGTGGTGATCACAATGTGTGAGAGTGGAATACGATAATCTATTGGATATTTGTTTTTTAATACTTTTTTAGCCAAATAACAAAACTGAAATGATGGTGCGTGCAAAAGTTTATGTCGGGCCCCTTTATCTTTTCGAGTTTGCCAGCGAGAACGTGCGACTCAGAAGTTTTCAGCGAGATCTCGTGAGAGTGGATCCAATGTTTGTTCCTAAGATGACTTGGGCATGGGTGATAAATTGAGAATCCACTCTGCTGTGTAGATCAAAGGCTCGTCTGTAAAATGCACCTGGCTCTGGTTGATATGGTTCAGGGTTTCGTTGAGAAGTGCATGAGAGGGCATCATGAAGGACTCCAAGGAACATCACCAGGGCATGGTCCGTGGAATACGTGGTCTGTGGCAGAAGTTTAAAGCTCGGGATTTTGCGATAACAAAAATTGAGTTTCCCAAGCTAAACATCCCAAGCGAGCACTGTGCCAAATGCGGAATCATTTTTGAAATGGCAAGGCAGCTATTCAGGGACCACTGCAAATCTACCAAGACCTGGGGCCGTTCCTCTAAACTTTCAGCTCAGACAAGGAGGAGAAGACTGGATCAGAGGGATGCAGCCAAGAGCCCATGATCACTCCTGGATGAACTGCCAGAGAACTACAGGCTGAGGGCGGTGGAGATGAGTCTGTCCATAGGGACAACAATCAGTCGCTACAGCTGGCACAAATCTGGCCGTTTTATGGAAGAGGTGGGCAAGGAAGCAAAGCCATTTCTCAAAGATATCCATAAAAAGTCTTTCGTCCTAAAGTTTGCCACAAGGGGCCACCTGGGAGACACACCAAACATGGTGGAAGAAGGCTTGCTCTTGGTCAGATTGAAACCAAAATCGAAGACTTTTTGCCCACAATGCAAAACGGATATGGTTTGGGCGTTAAAAGCAACACAGGGCTTCATCACCCTCAACACACCATCCCACTTGTCAAACATTTGGCGTGGGTGGCAGCATCATGGGGTTTGGGCCTTTGCTTTTCTTCAGCCAAGGGACA